GTGTGTGTGTGTATATACGTGTGTGTGTGTATATATATATATATATATATATATATATGTATTTATGTATAAATTAATGGTTGTACTGTACTATAAACATGCTGTTGAATTGAGTGCCTCTATCTTTTTAATGTCCAAGCTTTTTAATTTGATTAAAATCATTTTTGTCTAAATGTTCAAAACTCAATCAATGGCATTACAAAGAGGGCTGAGGTGCTATGGCTTGTTCAAAATTAAGCCTATAAACCTATAAGACAAATTACCAATTTTAAAAATACAGTACAATAAAAAAAAAATTTCAATCTAAAATATTAAAATGATTGCACATAAAAATATATATTTACTTATATCTTCACACGATAAACCAGTGAAACCCTGTGGACAGGAGCACTTCCCAAGCACACAAGTACCATTATTTTGACATTCTGGGTCACAGAAAATATCGTGTGTAATGGTCACATCCATTGTTGGTGACAAAATATCTAAAATTAAAAAAAGGATACATTTATATATTTTCAAAATGTATAAGATCATTGACCTCAACAATTGCAACTTCATTTATAAAATCTAAATCTATATATTTTATATATTTATTCTTTCTTTATACTGAATATACACTTTCAATACAGGGTTTCCAAAGTGGTTCAGTTCTTAACTACAAAATTTTAAAGGCAGATATATACATATGGTAACCAAAAAAGATGAATAACTTAACTACAAATTAAAATAGATTTAAAAGGAACATTGAAAAGAAACTTAAGAAAAATAAAAAAATTTAAATAATAAATATAGATATGCAAGGTAAGAGAAAATCAGGTTAAATTAAGATGGTATTATTAGGTATTTGAAATAGAATGCTTAAAATGTGTAAGTGTCATAGATTTAAAGTTGGTTTTAGTATGATCTGGGAGTTTATTCCATAAAATAGTAGATCGGTATACAAAAGTTCTTTCACCTTGCATATTATTCCAGGTGTATTCAATTAGTGTATTTTAACTTTGACTGCGAGCAAATTATAATTAAAAACAAATTTTTTCGATAAATATGATGGAGCATGACCATTTAAACATTTGAAAATCATTATGAGCAATTAACATCTCGACGAGATTTGATTGACAGATAAACCGACTAATCAGCGAGCGTCATTTAGTCACATGATCAAAAAATTTTTTTAAAAAACATTTTAATTTCCTTAGACAGCTGGTTTAAACGCGAAACATATGTGAGCCTAGGCCTAGATGTCTAGGCTTGGTTATAGATACCCAGATTTACATGAGCAGTGCGCATCAATGACTTGGCCTTTGCCGACAATGAGGTTGACTGAATGCGGCTTTTCCCTCTTCCTTTGGGAGCGATATACACACGCTTTTACAACAATTTCCCCGTCATTTTCCATGAAATAGATTAACACTATGAATATATGATTCATTTGCATACCGCCGACCCTGAATTCTCTTTCTTAAAGAAGGTTGATAGCAAAGGAAATCTTCGCCAACTCGGTAAGTCTAGCCACCCTTGTCTAAGGTTTTCGTGACTTTGTGGGCGGGGCTTCGCATCCTTGTCGACGTGTCAATTGTTCGTCCCATTCATCACTGAGTTTGCTCCACCCTAACAAACTTAAAATATTTACAACTTGGGTTTTTATGTCTGCAGGAAATAAAATTCTTCCTAATCTGTTTAAAAGTATTTGAAGTGAATTTGAAAGTTTAATGTTACAGTTGGACCAAACACAATTACAGTAATCAAAAATAGGCATAACTAGAGCATTAGCCTACATTGCATTGGTCACAAAGATCATAAGTTTAGTTTTTTAAATATTTAATGTAAGTTTATTTTTATCAATTGAAACCATTCAGCAACTTTGATTAAATTTGAATTTAGTTCATTTTGGAGAAGAGTGGGATCGGAAGAATCGCATAAAATGGTAGTATCGTCTGCATACATTACACATTTACATTGAGTGACATTTGGTAAACATAGATAATAAATAACAATGGGCCTAAAATGCACCCTTGGGGAATATCAATGTTAATTTTCATTGGATCAGATAGGGTTGAATTAATTTGAACAATTTGATCAATTGTGTCAAAGGCCTTTTTCAAATCTATGAAGATGGCTGCAGTTGCTATATAACATGGGATATTATTAACTGTGCTTCATAAACAATAACTAAACATAGCAAGCAACGCCTTAATAATATTAATATTTGTGCTTTGTAAACAATACTAAAAATAACCAGCTGCATGTTATTAAATCTATGTTTTATATCACATGGGTAGAGAGAGTTGTGTTAACACAAAATATACTGTAGCAAGCTGTGTCAAATGGTATCTAAATCTCTACATAGAATGTAGTATAAATCTCTGTTTAATTGTAGTACTGTAAGTGGTTTGGCTTGCTTGTGTCCTTCAGGACTCTATTCATTTGTTTCTCTTGCTATTCCATTCATTTCACATTTAGGTGTTTCTTTTGTTACTCCATTCATTTCACATTTAGGTGTTTGTCTTGCTACTCTATTCATTTCACTCTATTCATTTCACATTCAGGTGTTTCTCTTGCTACTCTATTCATTTCACTCTATTCATTTCACATTCAGGTGTTTCTCTTGCTACTCCATTCATTTCACATTCAGGTGTTTCTTTTGTTACTCCATTCATTTCACATTTAGGTGTTTCTCTTGCTACTCTATTCAATTCACATTCATTTCACTCTATTCATTTCACATTCAGGTGTTTCTCTTTTTACTCCATTCGTTTCACATTCAGGTGTTTCTGTAATTGCTACTCCATCTATTTCAGCTCTCCCAACGGGGGGTTTGGGCCCCCCCCCTGATTCAGGGTCTCATTATGAGGCCTATAGGGGGTGGAGTTTTGGTCGTGAGAAATAAAATCCTGTTACTATGACAGTAATTGAACCCAGAACCCTGGGATTGGAAGGCAAGCATCTTAACCACCAAACTATTCAACTTCACTTTAAAAAACTAAAATCCTTCAAGGAAAATAATTTAGTGTATATTTTTGCAAGTAAGTATATTTTTATATTCAAGAGGTAAAATATAAATTATAGCATTCAGCCTAATCGCCTAATACCTACTATGTTGAATAATACTGGCAGCTTGAAGTCGCAGACCAAACAAAAATTTTGAAAAACGTAATGCTTCAATATGTCACCATGTATGTGTAATATTTACTTGAGTTTCACCTTCTTAATCCAACCAGCAAACAGTGTGAATTGAGGTCAAGGATCTATGATGAATTTAGCTAAATGTGAATACAGGATGTTTGTCACTGATAATAAGCCAACAACAGCCATGTCACAGCACCAAAACTTGATGGTTTATAATACTTTACTGTTAATTTGTCCCTGATAATAAGCCAACAACAGCCATGTCACAGCACCAAAAAGCACTGCGTGACTTGATGGTTTATAATACTGTACTGTTAATTTGTCACTGAAAAGCCAACAACAGCCATGTCACAGCACCAAAAGCACTGCCTGACTCAATGGTTCATAACTGAACTGAACTGAACTTTAATTTATTGGAACACTTTTGTATCAGTGGCACACACCATCTGGTGGTGCTTCCAAATAACAATTAAGCAACATTTCACAAAATACAAAGAAAAGATAAAAAACAATCAAATATCAAAAACAATCAAATATAAAAAAAACGAATCAAATTGATAGAAAGTAAACATTAATTTAAGTACGATGAAAGGAATATTCCATGACTAAGAGATGGGCTGCCCAAATCTACAAGGTGAAGCCTAGCCGAATGGAACAGTCTAATTTTCAGTGAATTACTCAATTACACTCAGTACTGAAAGGTCCACGGATTAATCTCAGATAAGAAAGTATAATACATACTCCAAGTATTGAAATACACGCCATCGTGTTGGAATTCAATATTTCGACATTAATTATGTCATCATCAGGAATTATGAACACTCAGTACTGTTGGTCTTAAATTTAAAACACACCTAAAAAAGATCCTTGTCATTTGAAGAATTACAACCATAACTACCAAAAGTAATAATAATTTGTTTCTTCCCTTCCTTCTCCTTTAATTTCCTTTTCTCTTTCTTCTTCTTTTTTTCCTCCCCGCCCTTCTTTTTTCCCCTTCCCCTCCCCTCCCCTTTTTTTTGAAACAATTCAAATGACAACCAGAAATTTAGGTGTGTAATAAAATAATAAATAATAATAACAATAAATGAAGGCTAAATAACAAACAACTTAATGACTACAAAGCTTATAATACTACAGAAACAGTGAGAAGAAAAAACAAAAACCTAAAAACTAAAGTACAGTTTAATTTGTATAGGAGGGTAATGCAGATAGCATCAAAGATCTACTAGTCCATGCATTAATTAAATATTCTTTACAATGGAAATCAAAAATTTGTCCTACATTTTCTATATACATATCATCAAGCATAAGGTGACGTTTAAATTGCTGTGATCAATTTTTAAAACTATGCCAATATATACTTAAACCATTTTCATGAAGACTGTCACTAATACTCAAATATGCAATATCTCTAATTAAATTTAAACTGATAAATTTTCACCGATAAAAGACAACAACAGCCATATTACAGCACCAAAAGCACTGTTTGACTCTATGGTTCATAATCCTAACAATGATATGCAATTAGTGATTAGATGATACTTAGCCAAAAAACTACCCCTGCCAGAAAGTTAATATATTATTGTTATTAATGCTGAATTATTATTAATAAATATTATCATCATGCTTGAATACACGCACAACTAATCTCACCAAAAAAAAAACCGCCAACCTAGGTATACACTCGACTCTGTGCATCATTCCCAAATTTTCTTTAATCTTTTTTAGACTCCATTGGAAATACGTCATATGACATTTAACGCCTTGGAATGTGTAACAGAAAATCTAAAGGTAATTAGACAATTTCCTGATGCAAACAACATCAGAATAGCTCATTACATTCATTGCAATTTCCAATACTGAAATTGAAGCTGAACATAAATAATACTGATTAAGTGTAGCTAAAATTGGACTAGAGAGTTAAAAAGAAAACAATAGAACATTCACAACTAAAACAACAAAACCTAAAAGGAAGACAAGGACAACAATCAAGAAAAAACCATCAAAGCACAGAATGATTCAAAGATTCAGAAACCGGAGGTAACGGAACTAGGAGGTGCACTTGCATATGTATTAAAATATGTTCAAAGGGTGCCGCCTAGGGTTTATAGTTATCTTAGAAGACTTGTTCCACCAACATAAGAGCGAGCCATGGCAGTGATATTTGGTGATTGGTAAGCCTAAGTAGAGGTACAATACAGTACAGAGTACAATTATGTACTGGTACTGCTACTTGTAGTCGTCTGATTTCAGACATAATGGCCGACCACCTGGAAAAACAATTTTGAAACATTAATTAAAATAAGAACAATTCACTTGCAAAGAAAATACGGCCATTTACAGATGTACCTTGTTTTAACTATTAGAGGATACTAACAATACGGCTGTTGTGTGTGTAGCATATACATCAATGATCAAGAAAGAGAGTGTTATATGCTTTTTATACAGGAAAAAGGGTGACGTAATCTTAGAAATGACGTGTGCATATGTTAACCAAATTCTGAGTGAGACATCACCAAAAATTGGAAAAGTTTATTTGATAAAAAAATATTATGAACTACAAGGTTTGTGGACGTAAATTTGATAATACAGTTTAAGGGTACCACCATCTCCATAGCCTACAAATTACAGCTCACACTGATGTCAGTCGAGAAATACGGGTAATTAAAGTTTGTCTCGCAAATTCACTTACAAAACCAAATTTAAATCTAAGGTCCCACTTCTGACTTCGAATTGTGCTTTCGCACAATTGCCGCTGAGGGCGGTGTTCTGGGAACTTGGTGTTAAGACAATTATATTAGAAAGGAAAAAAACCATCAAAAAACAAATGCAAAAGGGGAGAAAAGAAGAAATATCACAAAGATTTACCAAAAAAGGATGCACAAAATTGAATTGAGAAAATATACACAATTTCAATATCGAAAGGCTGTGCATCAAAAATTACATATCAAAATTTAAGGGAAACAAAATTCATTAGACAATCACGTCCAATTAAACACTAGCCACGAAGTGCAAGCTCAGTGCTCTAGTGGTTATGAAACCAGTTATCTAGAGGTCGTGTGTTTGATTCCCGTCCGAATCACTAGCAAGATTTTTTTCGCAAGTACAGTATATGGGAACATACTGGGTATTCAGTTAAGATACACAACAGGTAGGGCAAAACATCACTCCTATGAAATTTCTGGTACAAACATCAAAATAGCATTGCAGTAGTCAGGGCAAAACATCTCTCCTATTTTACATGTGAATATTTCAATTACAACTTTAATATAAATATTAATTACTTAATAATATGTGTAAAATAGAGCATCTTGTGTAGCGCCCTCAATTGGGTATGGAAAGTTCAAAGTAGTAGATCGCCTAGTAACCAGATCACAATGCGTAAATTGAAGTAAGTTAAATTCATCATAATGAGATATGTAGAGATAATTTCATTGTTATATCATGATTCTTTGATTCAGTGTTATATGCTTTGGAGTTTGCAATGACCTAATTAGAGTTAAGCTTTGGCTTAAGCCGTTAATTATCATGTTAAGGTTAAGACCTATATTACCATAAGTAATTCTATGCATAAACGTGAACAGATAGGGGAGACGCAAGTGCTAGTAGAGAGTTGACCTTTGACCTTTATAGGCCTAGGATGGTCCTACGAATATTTCATGTATTTCATAGATTTATCGATGTGGGCTTTGTTAATTATTATCTTGTTATATGTTTAACTACAGAATAAAACCATTGTGAGATGGATGAAACTGAACATAAAACCGACTACGTTTCAATATGTATATAACAATTTTCCATATTTAAGTATTCCATATATAAGTATACTTCTCAAATGTATTGTTTTTTTACTATGCTATATTATCAATTGAGATGTACAGTATATAGAATTTTCTAATTACAATTTTTTCAGTAGACTAAACTGTTTCATTTTAAATGATCATTTTAATATACAGTATTTTGCTAATTTTGTATCTCTTTTAATATACAGTATGCTAATTTTGTATCTCTTTTAATATACAGTATTTGCTAATTTTGTATCTGTTTTAATATACAGTAGGCCTATTGCTAATTTTGTATCTCTTTTAATATACAGTATTTGCTAATTTTGTATCTCTTTTAATATACAGTATTTTGCTAATTTTGTATCTCTTTTAATATACAGTATTTTGCTAATTTTGTATCTCTTTTAATATACAGTATTTTGCTAATTTTGTATCTCATTTAATATACAGTATTTTGCTAATTTTGTATCTCTTTTAATATACAGTATTTGCTAATTTTGTATCTCTTTTAATATACAGTATTTGCTAATTTTTTTTGTATCTCTTTTAATATACAGTATTTGCTAATTTTGTATCTCTTTTAATATACAGTATTTGCTAATTTTGTATCTCTTTTAATATACAGTATTTGCTAATTTTGTATCTCTTTTAATATACAGTAGGCCTATTGCTAATTTTGTATCTCCAGAAGAAAATTTGCTTTTTCTAAGACACAAAAACCATACTTGACAAAAACCTTGTAAGTTGTCAATGAAAATACAGATTCAAAAGCTGGAAAAAGGGATGGTTACACCCACAAGTTTTAAATATTCAAAAATTTGTAACTAATTAACTCCTTCCGAGCTTTTCGTCACATATACTCTTTGTGTTTTATCAAATCAGACATATCAAAACATTTTTATCAAATCAGACATATAAAAACATTTTTATCAAATCAGACATATAAAAACATTTTTATCAAATGAGACATATCAAAACATTTTTATCAAGTCAGAAATATCAAAACATTTTTATCAAGTCAGACATATCAAAACATTTTTTTCCTCCAGAGCTTGGCTTTAATATACTCAAACTTGCATTTGCCAATCTCCCTTTCTTGATGAATATATGTTACTGGTTGTATTTACTGAATTTTTTGTTTTTCTGCTAATGTCCAGCTATCCAAATTCAATTGCAGATATTGTTTGATATTTTTCCTATTTGTCTCCTTTCTCCAAATATTGATAACAATTTAATTAACTTATAATAATAGATTATTAATAATAAATTATATGATATTAATGGAGCTGCTGGCTCTCACATTAAATCATACATTTACTATACCTGTGATAGCGATGACTGGAAGACACAGTAGCAAAACTCCAGTAAGTAATAAATTGATAAACTTTATAAACATTTTGATGACAGCTCTATCTAGCAGAAATTACTTGGCAAAATGGAGTAATGCTGTAATGACTGAAATAAATAAAATGTAGCCATTGAGGCTTGGTTGGGAATTCAAATCTGATTAAAGTAACAGCATTCAAAGGAGCTTTTCTTTTCACAGCTCCTACAGAGTTCTAGGTACTGTGTGAGAATGAAAATGGGGTCATGATACTGGGTATGCAAGTGGCATGGGGCCATGACACTGGGTATGCAAGCGGCATGGGGCCATGACACCGGGTGTGCAAGTGGCATGGGGCCATGACACTGGGTGTGCAAGTGGCATGGGGCCATGACACTGGGTGTGCAAGTGGAATGGGGTCATGACAGGGTGTGCAAGTGGAATGGGGCCATGACACCGGGTGTGCAAGTGGCATGGGGTCATGATACTGGGTGTGCAAGTAGCATGGGGTCATGATACTGGGTGTGCAAGTGGCATCTAGAATCCCCCAGAAGCTTTAGCTTTTTTCTCCTAATAGTGGGTGGCATTGGAGAGCAGACACGGCTGTGGTATACACATTTTTTTTTTTTTCATATTTTACAAGTGGGTTTATAAAAAAAAAAACCCTAACCCCCCCCCCCCCCCCCGCCGGGGAGTGGTAGGGGTTCAATTTACCCGGCATCTGGGATAAAATTATAACGTAAACGCAAACAAACAAAATGCCACCATAGTCTATGGTATGGTAGTTAGAAGAAATGGGCTATACAGTATTCGGAACAGTAAGCAAGGCTAGCAAAAGGCTAGCCCAAGCCAGGTGCCTGCAGTTATTAATGAAGCGATTATCACAAACTTTGTGGTGCTGGTGTTGCAAATCAGAGCCGTAGGGGATAGGCCTAGGGCCAGGCCCTACATACTGCAGGCCTAGCTAAAACAACATGACAAAATTACTAATAATAACTATTGTTACCCAATTATTGAACTTGATGATATGAACTCAAGATGTTACTGAAATTTTTATCCATTATACGTCAAGTTAAATTCATGGGATAGAAACCACGCCCGAGAAAACTCGAAACTGTCAGTGATCCGAAAGTATGCTAAACACTAGGGCCTAGACTGGCGGTGGCAGTACCAGCCTTAATACTTTGTCATTGTTTGTCATTGTTGTTGACACATAACTAGTCCAGAAAAAATGTAGTATGGAACGCAGAAGTAATATGGAACGCCATTGGTGTCCAAGACAAAATTTAGCAGTAACGTAAGCAGCCTGAAAAATTTGTATTTTGATTTTATATTACTTATTGATGTAGATACATACCGTGGGGGATCGATTGATACCGGCGTGTGCAGGGAGAAGGGAGGATTTTATATCACATAAATAAGTAGACTACTGTATCCTATGTCACTGTTTTTTACGATTTGTTTGGTTTTTTGTTATATATACATATGCAAAGGTGCTGGTATTTCCCTAGTCACTGGATACTTTAGTTGGCAAACCCGCACATTTTTGGCCTATTCAAGGTAAACTTTTTTTACAAACTCAAAAAAAAAAACTTTCATAATAGCCAAACCTAAATGTGTTTAAATAATTATTTTATTCAGCCGTTCGGACGAACCCCCTCTGTGAAGAAACGTAACAAAATACTATGGCCTGCCTGGCTTACAAAATTTATGCTAACTAGACGCGGATCCAGACCTTCGCCCACTTCGCCCAGGCGAAGGTCAGGGTGAGAATTCAAAATAAAATATTGACCAATTTTTCCAACAATCATACTTACTTTCCTTGACACTTATTTTGAACATTACCATTAGGAAAATGTTTAAATCCACACTATCCTATACCTTACAGGGCCGGCGGAACGTTTTTTAAAGTGGGGGGGCCCCACTTATAAGATGAATATGAATCATGCAGATCGATAATCAAACCTAGGTGGTGGGGTCAACGTTCCTCCCCCGGGAAAATTTAGATTTCTAGATGGCTGGAAATGACCTTTCTCGATTTTTGAGCTAGGTGTCTAATGACCTTGTTCTTCAAAATTCAAGGTTTACCTCCTCTTGAAAACGGTATGGTAAACTTTCTGATTACAGTAAATAGGCCTATTATGTGTGTATACCTTAAGAAAATGAGTAGTTGCATATCGTATTCTTTTTTCAATGAATCCTAGATGACGGAAAATGAGCTTTTCCCCGACTCCTGTGGTGTCTTAATTACTTTTAAGTTCTTCAAAATTCAAGGTTTTTCCCTCTTGAAAACGGTCAGGTAATTTGTTCCCATTGTTATTACAGTAAAGGCCTTCTGTGTCTGTACACACATAACATTTAAAAAAAATGAGTAGTTGCATACGAATTTTCCATGAATCGATGAATCACAAAAAGAAAGGGGGGTCGGGGGTCCTCCCCCGGGAAAATTTTGATTCCTAGAAGACGAGAAATGAGCTTTCCCGACTTCTGGGGTGTCTTTTAATTACTTTTAAGTTCTTCAAAATTCAAGGTATTTCCCTCTTGAAAACGGTCAGGTAATTTTTTACCATTGTTATTCAGTAAATAGGCCTTAAGTGTATACATACATAAAAATGTTTAAAAAAATGAGTAGTTGCATACGAATTTTTAATAATTCGACGAACCCCAAAAAGGAGGGGGGTCCAGGGGTTCTTCCCCGGGAAAATTTCGATTCCTAGAAGGCGGGAAATGAGCTTTCCCCACTTCTGGGGTATCTTTTAATTACTTTTAAGTTCTTCAAAATTCAAGGTTTTTCCCTCTTGAAAACGGTCAGGTAATTTTTTTACCATTGTTATTCAGTAAATAGGCCTTATGTGTGTATACATACATAAAAATTTAAAAGAAATGAGTAGTTGCATACGAATTTTCCATGAATCGATGAATCCCAAAAAGGAGGGGGTCCGGGGGTTCTCCCCCGGGAAAATTTCGATTTCTAGATGGCGGGAAATGAGCTTTCCTGACTTCTGAAATGTATGTTAAGTTCAAGGTTTCCCCCTCTTGAAAACAGTCAGGTAAATTTTTCTCATTTTTTATTTTATGTGTGTATTCATACATAAACAAATGAGTAGTTGCATGCGTATTCTTTTTGCCATGAATCGATAAATCCAAAAAAGAAAGGGTGGTCCAGGGGTTCTCCCCCTTGAAAATTTTGATTCCTAGATGGCGGGAAATGAGCTTTCCCGACATTTGAAGTGTGTTTTAATGACTTTTATGTTGTTCAAAATTCAAATTTACTTAATGGAACAAAAAAAAAAAAAAAAAAAAAAAAAAAAATTCAGCTCAACGGGTCCTGAAAAGGTAGGTCTAGAATTATTTTTCTTTTCCCCTTTTTTTGTTGCCCAAGGGAGGGGTCAGGACCCATGACCCCCTCCCCCATATCCGCCAATGTGAATTGCGAGAAAATGTAACTCGGTCTGGTACTGGATAAACATTCTCTTTCGCATCCTTCTCCTCCTTCTTCCCTCCTTCTTTTCTTGCATTTCCGATCATACAAAAATCTCCAGACATTTTATATTTTTTTGCCAAAAAGTGGGGGGGGTGTATAAGAGACAGCTATCCTATACTTTACACTTTTATATTGATTGTACTGTAGGCCCTACCAGAGAAAGAGTTCCAATACATTATGGTCTTCCACTTCTATAGCGCCTGATACAGTGCATAGCAAACGTTATGTGACCACTAATAATACAGGTCCAGTGGCGTAGATGGACAGTGCAGTCAGTGCACAGCACTGGGCCGCGGGGCTATTGGGGGCTCGTTCAATAGGTCTAATGATCTAAAAATATAACTTTAAAAAAATCCTATTTAAACTTTAAAAGGACCCTTCAATAATAATAATAAGTTTTAGACAGTGGCGTAAACAGGCGAGGGCAGGGGGAAGACTGCCCCCTGACGGATTTTACCGGGCTGACCAAGCCGTACCTGGCTGGGTAAGAAAAGAAAAGAAAGAGGGGAGAGGGAGGGAAAAGAGAAAGAAGGGAAAAGAAAAGGAAAGAAAAAGGAAAAGAAAAAGAGAAGAGAAAAATAAAGACAAGAATAAAAAGGAAGATATCTGATATCACAATATCCAGCAACCCATTCTCCACTTCAAAAAGTGTCCATATCGCATTTGATCTAAGCCGCCAGATATTCTCCGCAGTGGCGTAACCACCGGGGGACAAGGGGAAAACATCCATATGTGGAAAATCTCCCCATTGAAGATGCCCTTATCATTCCGGAAAGTGCCTGAAATTCTCAATTTTGGCGCGCATTGTTTGTTGAGTTAGGCCAATTTCCTCTAAAAATTTCACATTTTTGGGAGTTTTGATAAATTTCGACGGAATTAGAATTAAAAACACAATTTTTTTCGCGCGCTTATAAGGAAAGCTTGTGCTTACCCTCCTTTGCCTTCTAAGTTATTTAAACACAATAGTCCCAAACTCAAGAAAGAACATTTAAGATAGATCGTTTTACCTAAAAGAAGGGTGTGTAATGATGGTGAAAGAATATGTTTGTAATAAATAAAGCCATAATGAAAATGCTTATAGTCAGAACGAGTGTAGCCATAAATATATAACATAAGCGCATTTATTGTTGAGGTAGGCCAATTTCCTCTTAAAATTGCACATTTTAGGGAGTTTTGATCAATTTCGACGAAATTAGAATCAAAGACACAAAATAAAGTCTTGGGGCGTAGGCCCAAGCTAGGTTGGGTACCAGGGGGCGAAGTCCCGGAGAAACTCTGGCGCCTATAGCC